TTAAAGTTATGTAAGTAGCTTTGAATATATTGTATTTTATAATCAAAGGTAAGTAGTATTACTTAATTTAGGTGGCCCCCAAAACTAAAATTGACGTGTTCGAGCGTTTCTGGCAAAACTGTCGTTAAATGGGCAAAATTGGCATTGACTGTTTTCAGTGGGCCACCCTGTACAAGACGATAAAGGGATATTTTAACCATAGAGTGAATTAACTTACACGAGATGGTTACTTTCATTTTGTCGTCGTGTATACAAAATACAAAATATACAATATATCCAAAACTTTATTTTGTAGCAGAAGTCATTTGAATCATTGTAAAGCTTCTGACAATTCTGAATTTAATTTAGAGACATCAAAAATAGCAAGCTTAGGTTCTGCCGTCGCGATCGTTGCTATAGAAACAGAATTGTCATATGTTCTGGACGTCATTTTATATCGTGCATTTGAAATAAGAATGACAGATGTCATTAGAATGCACACTCATTTGTTTCACTTTATCTACCTGTAATATTCCCAAAGGACCACGATTACATCCAGTTATCATCCATTAAACTCAAAATAATTGAACGAACATATTAATACCTTAATCTATCGGGTTCTCTACGTCGCCTTTGTGGTCGTTCAGGTACAATTTCCTCATTTGAAATTTCCACTTCCGAAAAAGTAGTTTCTGGAGAAAGAACTGCAACCTCGGTTGCGTCCTGGTTTTCCAATTTTGTTCACTAAACCCCATATTAAATTTTTGAAGGAAGCCCTACGAACGAACGAAAACAACGGTGGTCCGCCTCTCTCTATTACATTTAATATCAAGGCATGAGTGTCACCGTTAAAATTTACGTTAACAATAATTTTACCTAATGGAACAATCTTTTGTCCCGTATAACTTACAAAATTGATATCTGTTTCTAACAGATTATGACGTGAAAAATATTTTAGGTAAGTATTCTTAGATATGACAGACGTTGATACGCCCGAATCCAATTCAAACTCAAATTCTTTGTTGTCAATTACTACCTTCACAAGAATAGGTGACGTATGTTTACTTTTCAAAGAAAACATTTGAAATTCACCTTTTTTGGTGTCCGTCACTTCATCTAAATCTAAATAATTAACTTTACTTCTATGTTTACAGATATTACTTAAATGACCAATTTTCGAACAAGTATTGCATTGATAATGCCTATACCTGCATGTTTCTGACGAGTGATTCTTTTTACCACAGCGAGGGCAGGATGTCTTCCGATTCTGCTTGTTCTGGATTCCCTCGCTGGCCCCTATCGATGTTGACGGAAATTCCCGTGACGTGGACCTCCGTTGCAGATGGTTGGTCTGGCCTCGACGTCGCTGGAGTCGATTCAGGTCGGCCGGCTCCACCTTAACTCGCTGATCCAGATCCACTAATCCGAAGCTCATCTGCGCTGACTCCGCCGCCATTGCCGTTTTCAATGCTTCCTGGAACGTTATCGTTTCCTCTTCCAAGAACAGCTTGTACACGGGCAGCCTATTCTTGTAATGACTCACTTGACTTTTTCGACGCCGAATAAAATTTATACCGTTCCACAAAAACTGCTTTTGTCGACACATAATAACTATCTAAGTGTTTTATTATATTATCGTACGACACATTTTGCGGCACTTCGGGTACGCACAAGTTACTTAGCAGTTTGAACGCCTCTTGCGATAAGGAGTTTAAAATTATTGCTCGTTTCCTCAAGGTCTCTTCAATTTTATTTGCAATGAAGTATTGCTCAATTCTAGCTTTATAAATGTCCCATTCATGTATGCTAGGATTGAATTCTAACAACATCCCGTAATTACGATCGGCCATTTTCACTTGCACCTCGCGGATTTCAGTCCCGTTTTACACGTTTGCACTTAGCTCATTACTACCCTCGTCGCCACTGTAATATTCCCAAAGGATCACGATTACATCCAGTTATGATCCATTAAACTCAAAATAATTGAACGAACTCGTCTGTACCTTTTTATTGCCATCAACCGACTGCGCGCGTTCTTGTGCGCGACCTTTACGCCATCTCATGTTACATTGTACATATACAAGTAAATTAACTTAAACACTACACTACCCTTACGGTTAAAGTGATCACTTTATCTATCCTTACGGTTAAAGAACGGCTTAGCCTACTCAATCAAACCTATTAAAATGTCATTTTAACATACGCTATAAAATAAAGGTAATTACCTAATACTAAAAATTCTCTACACAACCACATTCTTGTAATTTTCATAGTATTGCCTTATCAATCCATAACTTACATGATAGTAAAAAGTGTAGGATTTTGTGTGTTGTATACTTGCACCCTAATGTAACGAAGCATTCAGTTTTCATACTGGAATTTATGAAGACACCGTATACATAAATGACCGCTACCATCTTTAATGCCCACACGGTATATATGGACGAATAATTGGGCGCTTCGTTACTAACAAAATATAATTGTTCCCGTAGAGATATGTAAATTATTGTAGCATGCAACAGTACTCGGTATGGGGAAGCAAAAGAAAAATTAGCATTTTAGAATTTAAGCTCCGTTAAATAATTATTAGATGATTTTGGTCGAGCATTAGAGCTGCAAGGTCGCGCAGTTTATTTCATTATCGCAGTCCCTTTACGATTGACCAGAAATTCTAGGTAACAGTGGGTATTACTGGGCTAACGAATTTGGAAATTTTAATCCGGCAAGTTAAGTAAGTGTACTGAACAGCAGCTAATCAAATGAGTTGCGATAAATCGCATCCTAACCAGTCGGGAGTGGTTTCATTAGAAACGCGCTTTTTTGCCTTTGGTGTAGCACCGAATAGTAAGTACACTTTTTCGCGATGTTTACTGTACGTTTTGCGATTTTTGTTTTAAGTAACCTTATTTAAGTGTCAGGCATCGACAATGGAGAATACCTAGGAGAATACTCATTGTTCAAATTTTCCACCAAGCTTTTAACAACAGCATTTTCTGCTGCACAGGTGAATGATTCGTGATGTAATACCTATTTCTCATGTAAATTTTTCGATTGAGTTTCTTGTGAGGGTGGCCGTAAAGGCTGTATACGGGGCTAGTACGGAACGCTCCTACGCAATATCTAATTCCCATTAGATCTATCATTTGACAAACTGATCAATTCAACAATAAAATCAGTGGTAAACATCTGCCCATTAAACATTAAGGCTGATAGTTTAAAACGAAATGGAACTGTGGGCGTAGTAAACGATACCAATACGGTAATACGGTAGCAATAAAATGAAATTTATTTAAATAAAGAAATTACGAAAATGTTTCTTGAAGGTAAAATCTTAGAACAGTGCGAAATTTAGGTGAAGGAGAAAGTTGGTGTTACACCGTCTTACATTAAATCTCCTTTTTCGTCGACCTCTCGATAACAGCATAAATTACACCTTAATTACGGGTGTAGTAATCAAGCTCATTAATGGTTATAAACCATTATACGTTAGCAACCATTAATCGTTAGCAACAACTTATACATAACAACCATTTTATTAAAGGGAAATGACATTTATATAACAATTCACTTTCGGCAACAGCTGAGAACTTCCATCCACCTAACCATTTTCATCTCGGTTTTAATGTAGTGAGATCAGCAGCCAGTATGGTCGCCAACGATCTCAGCAAATCACATCCTGATGTGTAGCTTCTCGGATAAGGTATTGTTAAGGTACCTATTCAGTTACTTATTTACCTTCAACATTGAGTACGTCGACCACAGGGATGAACATTTCCATATCTTTCACTGTTAATACACGTACTTTAGTACAGTTGCAAAAGAATTAATTACATTCTAATTTCACATACCTTTTCAAGGTAAAATGTCAACATGACATTTTCGGAAATATATCCTTTCAAATTCATTGTATTCCATCAATTGCCGAACTGATCGAAACCGTTCCAATAAGTTTCTTTTGATTTGAGCGGATATACTGTTAAAATGGCTTCCGCAGCAGAGCAAGCAACGTAATCTTTCACTGAGATTACGAGGACTGACGGTACAGCATAAAACAACACATTACTATAGCAACGACAATTAATAGCTGTAATTTAGTGAAAAATCGTCGGAGCTCATAATTTTGTTTGTAATTTCTTGTAGTTGAATTTAAAATTACCTACCCCAGTGAAGTCGACGAAAAAACGTTGTATGCAATTCATGTATAAAATCGGCGATTATTGGTTCGTTCGAATTTAGTCCACTCGCTGCGCTCGTGGACTAAACATCTCACTCGCCAATAAAATGCCTGATTTATACACTCATTGCATAAATATCTATTAAACCTTGTAACAAATCACACTGCATTTTGCCAGTTGTGCTTCAGGAAGTTTGCTCTTCAGGAGAGGAGATCATTTCTTTGTCTCTATTTCTAATAGCTTACTATCATATCATATTGAACGTATAAATCAAAAGCTGTAATTGTTACTGTTGATCTTCATACTGCAAATGATAAAATTTGTGCCATATTTTACCATTTCTTAACCGAGAATACATTACATAAATTACATCTCAGTTCGTTTATAAAATTACAATTTGTAATGAGGTAGACAAGAGTTTTTGGCAGTTAAAGCGATTTTACATTCACTCACGAGTTAATTTATTATAAAGTCCCATTGAGACGTATGCGAATTGGTGATAATCACACACTAAAAATGTCATAAACGTATATAATATCTATAAAATAAGAGCTTATGTTTTATAATAAAATTGACATAAATCGGTATTTTTGGATTTTAAGTCAAGGTTTAATTAATATCTAACATCCAATTGGATATAAAAAACATTGTAATTAAATTCAGGTGATCATCCTTAACGGATATAATGTTACCGCGCAACACTAAATCAAAAGAAATTACATCATATTCGGAGTGAAGATGTGCCCTATTCTGCATAGTTATGCATAAATTACATTAAATGTCTGGACCACTGTCGAGTCTTAGGTTACGTTTTATCATGCACCTAACATTGAATAAACGATCACGTAATTAATAATATTCTTTATTAAAATGTACACATTAAATACAAAACAGGATAATGTCGATCGATGGATTTAGTGTTTATATTCACCAGCGTGTCCAATGTGTACTCTTACGTTGGGTACAAAACCAAAATCACCGGCAGTGTAAGTTACTTCAACTGGAATTCCTTCAGGTGAAGTGTATTGGTAGCCACCTTGCACGTTCTTTGTCGCTTGTTCTTCATTTATCGGTATAATTTCGGCGTTTTCGTATGCGCTAATTCCGTTGGCACTGGCAAAGCTGAAAATGTGCGAGTTTAGATTTAAAGGATAATCAATACTCTCAATACTTACTCCCATTGATATCCAGCACCAGGTTGTTGGTTGCTGTTCTGTCTAAGGATTGGGATGAATTGTCCTGGCTGATGATGCGGATGATATGGGAAGTTTTGCTGAGAAAGTATATCGATGTGTCCTTTAGGGAACTGTGGAGCTGGTGCGATAGGCTTTGGTGCGACAATGGGTTTAGGGACAGGTGCTGGTGATGGGTTGGGTTGTACGGGGAAGGCATGTGGCTGAGGTCCGTATCCTGGGAAGAATGGGTGCGCTCCGAATTGACCGGGGAATCCACCGGCTACAGGGAATGGACCTGGCGTTTGGGCTGCCGCCAAAGCTAAGCAGATGCAGGAGATAACCTAAAAATTTTCATTGCAAAAAGGACGGTACGTACAATAAAGGAACACTCACCAGTCTTAGCATGTTGAATTTGTATCACAACCACACAATAGAAATTTTAAAAAATGAACGAATATTTATACCAACCTCACATACCCCCACATCTGTTCTTTGATTTACATAATTTAAAATAGAACTTAAAAGACGTCTTCTTTGAGGATGCTCCCCAAGGTCGGTAGGATTTTTTGATATTATACTTAATATAGATACATTACAACATGTGACATTTAACAGAATTGTGGACAAGTCTACTCGCTCAAAAAGGATTTGGATAAACCGCAACACCACATTATACCGTCGTTTTGAATTTATGGCCTGTGAGAGGACAACTTTTAATTTTTCGAACAAAAAATATTAATCACATAAATTAAAGGCGAATAGAAAATCGAATTTCAATAGCGATGAAATTATCGTTTTATTCACTTACTAAAAGCACCCACACCAGCCTTACGTAACTGCAACGTAATGTTCCTCTTAAGGATTAAATCCGATAATTTTCTGAATCTACTTACTCAGATTTGCCCCTTTAAGCGCTCTTATCAATTAGCTACCCAATCTTCACGAAATACTACAAATGATCTGGTGGTTGCTTAGTTAAAGTAGGCATAATTGTAAAATGTAAAATGTAGTAGATATTCTTGAAGTTTACGAATACAATCGGTGTTATTCTGGAGGCGCTTGAAAACTTTGCAATATTGAAATCATTTTCAATTTGATAATTGAACACATTTCAATATTGAAACGTTTTGCTATTCAGGGCGATCCCTTGTAAACGTGGTTTTCAAGAACCTTGAAAGTTTGTATATTGAAAACTAGTAGCATGAAGTTGGCGTTTTTTGGTATTCGTCTTACAAAAAAAGTTGAGCAAAATTGGATCCGCTGTTAAATTTTGTGGTAAAAATCATTTATTTAACACTTCTAACCTACGACCGTGAAGGTGTGAAAGTATTTGCAGCCTTTTCCGTTGTATTATTATTTCATAATTGTTTTATATTCGTTTAGTATTTGTATGCACTTTCTTACTATTTGAACATTTAAACTATAGTATCCTTTTCTGTTTAAAAATACAAGTGCCGGATAATTTACATCATCCACTGGTGGCGAAGATATAGATACATGAGTGCAATCAATTGCTCCTATTATACCTGGAAATCCATTTTCCATCTGCATGAACCTAAGACGAATTTGAATGAATCTGTGACTGAATGCTCCGAGCCAGGGCAAATAGAGACGGGAAATTTATTGAAAAACATCAACATGGTTAACAAATTTTTACATTGCGTTTAATCTACCATCTCAAATCGTTCTGGCTGGGAATACAGCACATCATCGATTGATCGAATCGAATAGTTATATTTATAATATATTGATTGAAGTATGTACTATAAATCATTTAATCAGACTATGTAGTACCTTTGTTTTTCTTGCTCACATTCCTCATTGGTTGTTGGAAACTTAATAAGGTGGTAAAAGTGCTCCAAAGCAGTGGTAACATCATGTATGCATCTACTTACTGATGACTGACTCATCGCAACAAAAAAATCTTGCCCTACAGACTTCTGATAATTCCCTTGCGTAAAGAAGTGCAATGCTACTAACACCTACCCAAAGAACTAGGAAGTTATAAAACAGATTTATATACTTGCCACTCACTTTTATTTGTTTAGGTATAAACAAACTTCCTTCATTCTCAGGTAAATGAGGAGAAACTGTCACAATAAGATGCTGAGCTAACTGTCGCGACAATCTATAAATGCTTTGAAAAGTCAGCTCTGGCAAAGATAGAGGATCACTTTCATCCCTTAACTGGTGACGATAGAGTCGGAAGTTATTTCTATAAAATTTAAGTGTTACATGCTAGCTGTATAGTGTATAACGGAAAATTGCTTACATGTTTTCTTCATTATCTATTGCCTCAATAATTAACAAAAAATTTGGATTATCCATATCCATCAGACAGGTATAGTATAGATAATTCTACTTTAGGTTACTTGATTGAAAATGAAAATCAACACTCTAGCAAGGGGAAAAACTACTTGCTAAATTTATCAATACTTATTGAAAAGAGTATTATTGAAATCTTTTCAATTACAAGTGGCACCTGAATACCAACATGCAAGCAAGTTTCAATAATTGAAAACTTTTCAATATTGAAAGCTTTTCAAGAGGCTCCAGCATAACCCTGAATGTCGGGTACCTATCTTAAGGTGGAGAATCTAAATAATTCATGAAGAGTCTGCATACAAATCAAACACAGCGCTTCTTTTAATATAAAAGCTAACCATAGCAAGTAACGCACTCATGAAGTTCGCCCATTGAACACAATAAACTCGTGTGCTAATCATTTTGGGCTAACTAAAAACGAATATGTTTATACCAGTTCTGATAATACCGCACGAGTTTCTGATTTTTATTGAAAAGGATTACAAAATTGCTCTTATATACAATATAAAATCGCCAAAATCAAATAAGCGGAGCTCATTGTGAACTTACACAGTTATATGCTCTCAAACAGAGCAAGAAAACACAGAACATAGATGAGTGCAGCTAAATTATTAGCAATATTGTATTCACTGATCTAAATTTGTTGTATTTATACCATTTTTGCGCTTATTAATTTTCAAGTACCCCAAACTGGACATTACTGGTAGCGTATCTGCCGTCAGTTTGTCTTTTACTGGAATTACTTGTAAACGATTCCATATAGCAATAATTCCTGTAGAAATAGTTAATTTTAATTCAAGTGAACATAGGCATTATTTACTCTCGAGCTCTAGATTTGAACAAATGAGCGAGCGGAGCGAGCGATTGTTTCATCTAGAGCGCGCCGTTGCTCGGGAGGGCTCAACATAATTTTTTCCACAATTATATTCATTATTTAGCAGGTCAAAAGACGCTGGTCAAGTGAAAATTCCAATCATGAAATTTCGCTACGCTTCTCTTTATGTGAATCAGTGCACGTGCGATAGGTACGTGTTGCCTCGGGATGTAATGTTGGTGCTCAGGCAATAATACTTGACTTCTCTACCTTGTTATAATGGTATATAATGTACTATTTCATGTAATTTAATAATAAACGGTTATGTCGCATTGTCGTTTGCGGAAATGGCCATTCCTAGAACCCATATCTGAGGCAATTTTTGTTACAAGTGACAAGTCATAGTAATCTCATGCTACGTTTCCACACGCGGCAAGCAGCTTGGCAAGCATCTCGGTAAGCTGCTCGGCGAATCGCCGCGTACAAAGCAAGCTGTTTACACGCATCTGAGCGCAGAACAAGCTCACAACCAAACATGGTGGACGTAGATGTTATTGCAGCTGTTCCGTTCGGTTTGACATACGTACTTTTATTGGAAAAAACAACAACAACGAATTGAAAAGAGACGAAGAGCTCGGAGAAGGTGGTGGATGATAAAAATTTATAGAAATCGCACCAAGCCCGTCCACGCATGTAAACAGGTACACGAGCGCAAACAGATTCACCCTTTGATCTTTGTCGAAAAACCGACACTAGTCCGGATCGGTGACGAGCACAAGCAAAAGCAGGCAAGCAGAGGCGAGCAACCCATTTAGATGCTCGTGCTCGTGATCGTGCCCGTTGAATGTCGCTTTGAACGGAAGCGTGGAAACGTTGCATTAGGATTCTAATCCAACAACTAGCAAGCGAACTATTGGCTTTTATTGTTGCTTACACAGCTAGATATACCTATACGCATATTTGCGCCACTTTAATTTGCGTGAAATTGATATGCCCAGCGATTGCCATGGAGCGGAACATTTGCGTTGTCTCAGTAGCACAGTAAACCACCGATTACTAAGGACTGATAACATTTAGAACGCAATGATTAGGTACATCTAGCTCAAACAAACTTCGAGTTGCACTGCTACTTTTAATTACCTAGCTGCAGAATTCGATCAAATTCTTTGTAAGTCTTGTGACATTATAAAGGTCCAAGAAATTATTACCAATTAAAAATAAGATTCGCGTATTCGACTTGGTTAGGTGACTTGAATTTGTGTAGTTGTATAAAATGAATTAATATTTGTCTTCAAGAGTAAATGTGAGTCATAAGGGCATTATTGCTTTAGGAATAGATAACGTAGCCACGTATAGTTTTCGTAGAATTTTGAGGAATGAAGTCACAAATATATACGTGATTTTGCTTACGATTTCACGTACGATTATTCATTCGACTTTTGTTGGAGGTTGTTTTGGTGGTTTTCTGTTTACGTTATACGATTTACTATCAATAATTACGAATAAGTATGATCGGACCTCAAAACAGGACAACTCGCAAGAGAAATCGTAAGCAAAATCACATAACTTAAACTGCCCCGCGCTTATTTTGTCAATAGTCACGATCAAGTTCCTTAAACTCCAAAAGGATCACTTACCAAATTTTGAAGATACTTGAAATAAACTTTGGCCACAGTTATTCAAAATTAATGCATGAGACATCTATCTCAATTGTTAAAGGGATCGAATAAACACACGGTTTGAATGTTTTCATTTAAACAAAATTCATTCTACGACCACACATGGAAATAATCATAACATAAACAAAATTGCACTACAATAGCGTCCGAATAAACAAACCTGATAAAATAAAATAAAATAAAAGTATATCCTTATCTCTATATAATTACATTAATCTTGTATAAAATCAAACGAAAACCCAATAAATCAAATCTGAACTGTCACAAATGAATTAACAAAACAAATTGATGAAAAGTGAGATAAAAATTTTCATATCCTTATTAATGCAAGCAACTATTCTTTTTTACAACGAAACAAATAAAACCTTGGATGCAGGCTAGATACGCAAAATCGTTTTGTGTTTATCCGTAAGGAATCCCATAAAATTCATGAAATAAATTGAAATGAGCATTTGATTAGTAATTAAATAACCCGTATTCACTTCAAATGCCTAGACCTAAACCTCCACCCCTAACCGAAATTGTTTACACAACAATACAATTAATAGCCACATGCGCATCCGGTAGCGAACTAAAACATGCTGCAGTGCTGCACCCTCGTTGGTCAAAACGGCCAACCGATGACAGCGTAGCGTCCCTGGCCGCAAACGTTTAAAAGCAGAACTCCGAACTCTGCAA